CAGCTCCATACAGTAGAACTGCCTTGACGTTCGTATTGAAGATTCTCACTTTGATATTGGTTGAAAGTTGTTTTGAGTTCCATATGTTCTTCAATTGTAGGAATGCGACCCTTGCTTTGCCGATCCTCGCCTTTACGTCTGCATCTGAGCCTCCTTGTTCATCGATGATGCTTCCCAGATATGTGAAGGATTCTACATCTTCCAGAGTTTCGCCATCAAGAGTGATTGGATTGCTGTTCTCCGCTTTGAATTTGAGGACCTTAGTTTTTCCTTTGTGTATGCTGAGGCCTACTGATGCAGAGACTGCTGCTACACTGGCTGTCTTCATCTGCATCTGTTCGTGTGTACGTGATAGGAGGGCTAGGTCATCTGCAAAGTCCAAATCGTCTAATTGATTCTGAGCTGTCCATTGTATTCCGTGTTTTCCTTCAGATGTCGAGGTCTTCATAATCCAGTCGACCACCAGAAGAAAGAGGAAGGGAGAGAGTAAACAGCCTTGTCTGACTCCGGTCCTTACTTGGAATGCATCTGTCAGCTGTCCTCCATGCACTACTTTGCACTGTAGTCCGTCGTATGAGTTCCGGATAATATTGACAATCTTCTCAGGAACTCCGTAGTGTCGAAGAAGTTTCCATAACGTCCTCCTGTCTACACTGTCGAATGCCTTTTCATAATCAATGAAGTTGATGTATAATGATGAGTTCCACTCAACTGATTGTTCGACGATGATCCGTAGTGTTGCAATTTGGTCTGTGCACGACCGATCCTTACGGAATCCAGCTTGTTGATCTCGAAGTTCGGCGTCTACTGCATCCTTCATCCGGTTCAGCAACACTCTGTTGAAGACTTTCCCTGGTATTGACAGTAGTGTTATGCCTCTGTAGTTTTCACATTTGCTCAGATCTCCTTTCTTTGGAATCTTGACGAGGTGTCCTTCTTTCCAGTCCATCGGCACTTGTTCCTCCTCCCAAATCTTTTTGAATAGAAGATAAAGCATGCTTGTGGTTGTTTCGATGTCTGATTTCAGTGCTTCAGCTGGTATGTTGTCGGGTCCTGCTGCTTTCCCGTTCTTGATTTGTCTGACGGCCATTCTAATTTCTTCCGTAGTTGGTGGATTGACATCTATAGGAAGATCTATGTGTGCTGCTTCGATGTCCACTGGATTCATTGGAGCCGGCCTATTCAGGAGTTCCTCGAAGTATTCTACCCATCTGTTACGTTGTTGTTGAATTTCGGTGATTGGCTTGCCTTCTTTGTCTTTGACCGGCCTCTCTGGTTTACTGTATTTCCCTGATAGTTTCCTCGTTGTATCGTAAAGCTGTTTCATGTTTCCTTCTCTAGCAGCTTTTTCTGCCGTCGTTGCTAGTTCTTCAACGTATTTCTTCTTGTCGGCTCTAATGCTCCTCTTCACTTGTTTGTTTGCTTCTATGTATTCAGCTTGTGCTTGGACTTTCTCTGCTCGTGTTCGGCTGTTGTTTATTGCTGCCTTCTTGTTCTTCCTTTCTTTGATCTTGTCCACTGTTTCTGTAGAGATCCATTCCTTATGATGGTATTTCTTTAGACCGAGAACCTCTTGACACGTTGAAGTTAATGCTTCCTTGATGCCTTTCCAGTTGTCCTCCATAGTAGTTTCTTCTTCTTTCAGTAGATCTCGTAAGGCTTGGAACCTGTTGTTGAGAGCTATCTTGAATTCATTGAGTTTGACAGTATCTCGAAGGAAGGCTGTATTGAACCTTTGTATTGCTGTTTGTCCACTTGTCCAGTTCTTTTTTAGCTTCAGTTTCAAATTGGCTACAACTAGATGGTGATCTGAAGCTACGTCAGCACCTCTCCTGGTTCTCACATCTTCCATTGTCCTTCGGAATTTTTTGTTGATGCAAATATGATCTATCTGGTTCTCTGTAGTGTGGTCCGGTGAGATCCATGTAGCCTTGTGTATACGCTTGTGTGGAAATATTGTGCCTCCTATGACCAATTTGTTGAATGCGCATAGATTTGCAAATCTTTCTCCATTTTCGTTTCTTCCTCCCAGTCCATGTCGTCCCATAATATCTTCATATCCAGTGTTGTCTATTCCGACTTTGGCATTTAGATCTCCCATTAGAATGGTGAGGTCCTTTTTTGGGCATTTCTCTATCACTGACTGCAGCCGCTCGTAGAACTGATCTTTAATTTCGTCGTTGCTATCATTGGTGGGTGCATAACATTGGATAATATTCATTAAGATCCCCTCCTTCTTTGTTTTGAATGATGCTTTGATGATTCTGGATCCATGAGATTCCCATCCTACAAGTGCATTTCGTGCTACTTTGGACAGCATAAGAGCGACTCCCTGAGTGTGTGGAGCATTGTCCTCTTCGTGACCGGAGTATAGCAGCATCTCTCCCGTAGCTAGCCTTTTCTGTCCAGCTTGGGTCCAGTGGGTTTCGCTGATTCCCAGTACTGCTAAGTTGTATCTCCTCATTTCCATTGATATTTGACTGGTCTTCCCGGTTTCCCACATTGTTCGAACGTTCCATGTACCTATAAAAATTTTTGCTCTGGTTGTTAGAAGGGGCATCGGCCTCGTGGCTTCCGAAGGAACTCGGCTTTCACCATGAAGCGTCATAATTCTTCTAAATGAAGACCTTCTAACTCCCAGGGCAGAGTTAAAATGGTTTGGATTATTTTTTCTGGTAAGCGTTTTTTTAGCGAGTTAGTTTTCTACGGGATGGGGACGCTAACCCCATGCCCAACCCTCCTCCTTTACCCGGGCTTGGGACCGGCAGCAACCCTATAAGAGCTACAGGCGGAGTTAGTATGAAACATAGGTTCATTGTATTCTGTCAACTAACTACAACTATCTTACAGACCAGACTATAAACAATTATACTTACTTACTTGCATACGGTGCTCAACTTTTGGTTAGTATTTTCTTGCAATGTTTAATTCTGCGTGATGGGTTTGCTGAGTCCATCCCCCATCTTCCTCTTTACCCGATTTTGTGACCGGCAGTAACCCTAGAAGAGCTGGAGGCGGAGTTTAAATTTTACTACTCAGTGTATATTTTGTAAAGATACTACAGTTGCTTGAAAAGGACACGTTTTCAATTGCATATATTTGTGTGTTTGTAGTAGAAAGCTTCGTGTAAATCTGAACATGTGTGTAAATTGGTGTACTTTTGATTATCATATTCAGAATATCTTGTTAGTATTTTAAATATTCAGTATGTTTATTGAAAGAATGTCTGTTTACGAGATAGGAATCTGGTTGAACTATTTTTTGGTTTCAAGTTAATAACTGTGTACTATGAAATCAGTATTGTGCACAACTATCGTAATGAATCCATCCTACTAATATTAACATTGTTCCATGTATATTTGTATTTTAATTTGACAAAATATTTATAATTAGTAATGTTCACTATTCTCAACGACCTTTACAACATTCATTCATTGTTTCACTGCAATTTCAAGCGTTGATAGGTTCAATCATACTTGCCGCAACGTTTTTAAAAAAAAATGATAACATTATTCGGAAAATAATTGAATTTTTCTTTATCAACTTGAAATCTAAATATTCATAGTTTTGTTTGTAACAAATAAACTTTCTTCTTGAAGTTGGTGTTTTAAATCAAATTCTTTGCGCATAAATCTGAATTTCGCCGTATTATGAGGTTTTTTAAAAAGATTATTAAACATGAGTACCAATTGGTGATTGATATTTCTGTAAAATTATTTTCATTATTTGATTGAGATCATGAACCGATTAATCTTAAACCACCATTGGAAAGCTGGAGGCACTAGACAGTTGTTTCGTCCTTTTGTAGGACTCCTCAGCAGTTCGCATCCTTAATCGTGCTAGCGGGATCCAAACCCAGGGCCTTCAGTCTCGCGTGCGAACGCTTCACCTACTGGATCACTGACCCGCAACCAATGGTGTTAATGTCTAAAATCAACCAATCCACGGAATTGCGCGACCATCTTCCATTGTACTGAGGTAGATACCTTTCTCTATCCGACACGGATTAGCTCCACTGGTCATGGCCTCTCACTAGAACTCCGAGAATTCCCTCACGAAGCCAGTCACTAGTGAGCACATGTTAATTAACAGTTTACGAGTTGTGGAGATCAATAAGTTCGCACGTGAGACTGAAGGCCCTGGGTTCGGATCCCGCTAGCGGGATCGTAGATACACACTGTTGAGTAGTCCTACAATAGAACGAAACGCCGTCCAGTGCTTCCAGTTTTCCAACGGTCTAACACTAACCGATTCATGATCTCAATCAAAAAAGCTTCATAATCTCCATAACCCCTATACTGGTATTTTCATTATCTTTTTCTCTTGGTAATGGTACGATTGTTTTATGATTATCTATTCAAGTTTTGCATTGTGTTCAGATGCATTGGTAATGGATCTTTATATTGCTGCGATAAGTTATTTAGTGAAAATATTCAGTTCACAGATTAAGAAGAAACTTATTCTATTTCATAAACCTAAGAAAAAGATATTGACTATCCGTTAACCATGTGCTGTACATACACGCTAAATACGTCTTCTATTTGTATGTGCAGTAATGATGACATTGATTTATGGAACAAAGCATCATCTTGATACCAAGCCATTAATAGTTTATTACAACATTTACAAAATTCCTGACTGCTAGTTGAAATGTATTTCCGATGCCTAATATTTACTATTACCACTGATGCTGTTACTCCCTCCACAACACTGGAATTCGCTCTGACAATTTCATCTCACTGTGCTAATAAAAGTGTGGCAATTTAAATGTATACGAGTTCTACTTTGTGTATAATTGACTGACAGGTGAAACCTTATTTATTAGGGATCATGAACCAATCAATGTTAAACAACCATCTTTTAAAAATTGAAAGCACCGAACATTTGCATTTTTTTTCGCTCTTGAAATTTTTACAAAGACTGTTTACATTTAATAAATCATTGGTATTTATTAAGTTGCAAAATAATAAATACTAATCTCATTCTTTTTATTCTTGTAGAGACCAAAAAGCCGATGAGATTCGTTTACGTGCACATGTCAAATAAGAATGATTTTATTCATTAAGCACCCACATTTTATTTAATCGCAACAAAAAAACAAAAAAACACAACTATCGTGGTTAATGCTATTCGATGTGTAGATGCATACAATGCTTGCTGGTGTAATTATTAAACAATCTGCTTATGTCTGCATAGTTTTATTGACTTCACTTATTCAGTATAATTTTTTTCTGACTATGTGCATATTAGTTTCATTATTATTATTATTTTCTACTTGTTTGTTTTTTTAAAGAAAATAATCGTTAGAATCTCACTTTAGTTAAGATTTTTGATCTATCTGTTTCGCAATATTCCCCCCACCGACCGCCATCGTCTAATCTCTCTCTCTCTCTCATATGGACTCACACGTTTTACGTTTGATGATCTGTTAGTCATTTTCCGCTGTTTTGTAGTTCCGACATTTGTTCAATGATCATTTAATTTATAACATTGTTTCTCTTGATCAATTAATCAATCAGTTAATCGATCAACTAACTAACGATGCACGTACTCATGTTATTCTGTCCAGTTCATTATTGTTTCCACACACACACACACAAGACAGTACTTTTTTGTCTTAATAATTTATAATACGCATTATTTTTTGTTCTTTGCTTAACCCTCATCTTAAAATTATTGTCAATAATGGTTATATTTATATGAAAGTATAGATCACCATATTTTTTAAGTAAATGCACTAAATGTTTTATTAGTATAGATTTATAGAAAGTTAATCGAGATTTTCTCGACTTTATTATTATTATTATTATATTGTTTAATACATCAGTTAAGCCGGAATCATAGTTTAAAAAAAAACATCTTAATTTATTTTACAGACAAATATAAACACTGGATGATTTGCATGAACTTTGAGTGTATGAAGTGACCTAAATTTCATTGATATACAGATTGTGAACATTGAAAATACATGTAGACCAAGTACGTAAAATACAGTATTCATTGTATTATAAGTGGTTGATGGATGAATATGTTTTTTGTAACTAGCTTTATGAAAATTGTATTCGATTATGTACCTAAACTTAAGTTAATAGCTCTCATTCGGGCCGAGATTTAAACTTGATCATTGATATTGTGTTTATTCGACAGTTATTCCTTCCGTACTAGTGATTGTGAAGTTTTCAATTGGTACCGTGTATTCTTAACGATTACTATACGAAGAACATTTGTATCCAAATGAGTGTTTTAAGTAATTTGCTGATTAATGCCTTAATAACGTCTATTTTAAGACATAAGACAGCATTATGTCGACAGGTTTATAGTGAGACCATCAAGCCAGCACATTTGTATCCGTGTTATGTGCTAGGCAGTCGAAAAGGCTAATCGATTAAATAAAACCCAAATTTATGGTAGTCATTTTCATCTAAGTACTGTAGTTAATATCGATTATAAAGGGATGTACGAAGTGTTATTTAAAACATGTAATGACGCGTCGACTTTTGAAGGGTTGACGAACGATCACATCTACAACTTAGTGACTGATATTCAGTAACTAGTCGAGGTCAATCCGGACCTATTTCAACGACCAGGCTAGCTATGTTAATGTCTACCCCTACTTTGTGATGTACACGTAGTATGTAATAAATGGATTAATATTTTTTGCGTGAAACAAGTGTCAGCAATCCTTTCCATATTTCTGTTTCATCAGCTACCAAGATGAACATAGTGGTCGACTTTCTTAGTTCTTATGGTCAGATGAATGGACGACGCATACCGTTACTGAAGCAACATTCTGTATCTGGGAGGGAAACTCCTAAAGACCTTTCTGGTACTGGCAAAGTACATTATATGTGAGAAAAAAATTGTCTGTTGAACTGCTTAGAAAAGTTCAAGAGTGAAAGTGGCCTGCAGCTAATCGTTAATAGATGTTAAGAGAGACTGATATGCTGTATGATAGTGGACGAGTCTGATTGTTATCGCAAAGTGAGAAGATCAGGTAATACTTCAGTAAACCTCAGTGATATCCTAGGAAAAGTTACAGCCAGACTTCGCGCAGTATGTTAACACTTATGGCTTAATTGGTTATTTTGTAATGGTGTTTCTATCCGGTAAAACATCATGTGCGGTAATCATCTTAGGTATCATTATAGTTAAGCGTATTGTTTTCGATGCCACTAGATTTGTTTTTTTCATTAAATGAACGATTAACGAGTTCATCCAGTAAGATTGTGTTCAACTAACAAGCACTTCATAATAACTATTGGACTGCGGCACACTAACAAACAGTGATCGAGCAAGTTAGTTCTCAACAGTTCAATTAATATTAAGAAGCACATGACATATTCTTACTTACACCTGTTACCCTTCGTGCAAGTGTATAGGCTGCCCACCACCATTTTCTATCGAACTCTGTCCTAGGCAGTTGTTATTCATCCTTTTCATGTCTGCTTCCTAGTGTGTTCTTGGGTCTTCTACTCCATTCCCCTTCAAGATTCCTAGTCAGTGTTTACCTCGTAATTCGGTTTAATGATTTCAGCAATGAATTTCCTATCGACTTCCAGCGTCTTTCCCTAATTTCCTCGTTAATTGGAAGCTGGTATGTCCTCTCCTACAGTAGGCTGTCGCCGGTGGTATCAAACCATCGGACATTGAGTATCCTGTGTAGATAATTGTTTATAAATACATGCGCTTTTTTGACGATGGTTGTAGTGGTTCCCCAAGTTTCAGCACCCTACAGTAGAACTGTCTTGACGCTCGTACTGACGATCCCGAATTTGATATTGGTTGCTAGTCGTGAGTCCCACGAGTTATTCAGTTACAGGAATGCTGCCTTTGCTTTGGCAATCCTTGCCTTTATATCTGCATCGGATCCACCTTGTTCGTCGATGATGCTGTCAAGGCAGATACCTGGAAGTTTCCACCTCTCCCAGAGTTTCTCCATCAAGTGTGATTGGATTGGTGCTCTCCGTGTTGTGTTTGAGGGTCCTTGTTTTGCCCTTATATATATGCTAAGGGCCTATTGCTGCTACATTTGTTGTCTTGACCTCCATTTGTTGATGTGTATGGGATAGAATGACCAGGTCATCTGCGAAGACCAGATCGTCTATTTGCATGCAAGCCGTCCATTGTATTCTGTGCTTCCCCTCAGATATATGTCTTCATAATTCTGTCGACCACCATAAGAGAAAAGAGAGACGGAGCTAGCAAAGTTGTCCATCGGCACTTTTACCCCCCAAATCTTCCTGAATAGAACGTGAAGCATACTTGCAGTTGCTTCTATGTGTGACTTCAGCTGGTATTTTGTCAGGTCCTGTTGCTTTCCCGCTCTTGATTTGTCTGATGGCCATGTTGATTTCTTCCGTCGTTGGTAGAGTGACATCTATAGGAAGGTGTGTTTGTGCTGCTTCAATGTCCAGTAGATTCAATCGTACTGGCCTATTCAAAATTTCCACCCATCTGTTCCTCTTGTTGAATTCCAGTGATTGGTTTGCCTTCTCTGTTCTTGACCGGTCTCGTTGGTTTACTATATTTCCCTGTCAGTCGTCGTATAGTTGTCTCATATTTCTTTCTGTTGCAGTTTTTTCCGCCGTCGTTGTTAGGTCTTCCATATATGATATTGCTCAGTACAAATGATATACCTACATCAGACATTTATTTGCCAACGATTACTGACCCATCCCGTGCTGTTTACAGAATGAACGAAAATAAGTTTAGAATTCCACTGTTACCATAAGTAAAAAATCCAAATTATAATGCGGAGTTTCCGATTAATGATGAGCGCAACGATATGATGTGGTCGAGTGTTAGTTGCAATTGTCTTAAGCCTCTGAATGTTTAGAAAAAAAGATCTGGACCCAACGCTTAATTTTTGGGCATTGTGTCAGTTGACGCGAAAATCCGAAATGACTTCCGAGTAATAACATTAGTAACTGTATACGACGTGCTTTCATGACTATCCACGGACAGACAGGCACTCCAGATAGATTCGGTGTTTCTAATCGTTGTGAACGTCTGAGCTATATGTTGCACCCAAACAGTGGTTGCTGAAATTCAGACGGTTAGACCACGTATTCCAGGTACAAAACCCTTAAAGTTATTGTTTGCGAAGTAGCTTTGATGAACGGAATATTTAAGTGAACATTAGAGAATTTGACGTTTATTTCCATTAATTTCATGCAATTACCAGTTTCATGTAATATCATTGTCATCCTAATGAGGCAGCCATTAAGATATAAGTTCACAAAAGTACGAAATTTTGGCTCAACCTTTAACTTTAAGACTGCCAATTTATACACGGTTCCAGCATCAAAACAATAAACTTAAATAACAACAACAAGTTGGACAATGTAGCGAAAACTCCAATCATGACATACTGGAACAACTAACACATTAGTCAACTAAAACATATGCAACTAATGTTCACCCACTTGGATTATACACGAGTCCTCAGCAAATAGTAGAGAAAAAGTGCGACGTTCTAAACGTGACTGAATGAAGTGCCAACCTTTTACTAAGCTCTATATGATTAAGCAAGTGTCAAACACGTTTAGTCTCTCACAACTAGGTTTTATGGCTAAACTAATTAAAATCAAAGTCCTTGAAGTCACTAACGTCTAGTCCGATTCATGTTGGTAGACGCAGACTACTTGGTTGGGGTCCGCGTGACTATTGTAAGCAATGATTGGAGACTCTGAGCGACATGGTTCAGAATCGACAATGGCGTAGGTGTATACACTATCTATCTTCCCTTAAACTATGAGATTAAAATTATCTCACATCTTTATTTCTATGAACTAATTCTTTCTTTCTGTACTATATCCTTACATAAAATCTTTCCTTTATTTATTACACCACCGAGCTAACTGCTTCTTCGAATCCGGTGTCCGTCTTGCCGCGCTAATGAGGTATGACAACTTGGACCGATCCATGTATGTGCCTGGTTCTACATTGTAACTGATTAACATTCGGAACCTAATGAATGAATTAAATTTAAAAAATATCTCAATAGCTTACTCTTCTATTCAATATGGATCACAAGAATAGGAAACCAAAAGACGAAGTGAAAAAAAAAACAACCAATTTTATTAGTGCAATGTAAAGTTAGGGCATATTTCTCAATATATTTTGATATTCGAAGCAAGAGTTTTAGAATACACTTTTTTTTATAAATAAAACAGAAATATATTTGTGTTAAGTCCATGTAAATCTCGACTTAATCAGAACAACGTAAATTTATAACAAATTAATAATTAAGTACTTTAGTTGTTGTTTTTTTTAAATAAATTTTGTTCGTAAGGTTTCTCAACAAAATGCGAAGTAGAAAGATTAAGTGAAATAATACGAATAAAGAGTAGTATTATTATTATGAAGCAATTTAAGCAAATTAATCGGATGCTAAATAAATGAAGACCATTTTTTTTTTAATCGTCATCACGATCACGTCTCTAAAGGAAAGAATTAATAATATAAATTAGATCTGTTCAATAATTCATTTGAAAATCAAAATATATAGACGCTTTTAATCGAGTGGTAATTATACGTAATGTGACCAGATTGTTAATAACATTTGCTTTACATTTATTTAGATTGTGTAAAAGTTCTTGGTACTTAGTTTTATACAAACATCTTGGAAACCAAAAGCCACACAATAGGATTATTACTATCATGCAGTAAATTAATTAGTGGAAGTACTAGGTGAAATACAATAAATACCTGTCTAGAACTTTAATCACTTGCAATAATAAGAATATATAGGCCTATTCATTACTGTATTCTCTAGTGTTAAATGTTGGGAAGTAGACAACAAAACTCTTAAGTTACAGTTTACATTTAAAATATCGTAGAGATATAAAACTAGGAACATACCCTTTTAGAGTTGAGGATTATAAGAAGATGACGGAATATTTCGACAAAATCAATGAACAAATCCAACGTGTGCCTGAAACAGGGCAGAAAATAAGTAAAATTGAGAAAAAGTTCAGTGAACGCTTCATGATATTTTACACTGAGTCTCAATACGTAACTTGTTGAACTGTGATAGTCAGGTGAATATCCTGTCAGATTATAATGTTGAGTGTATGTTTTATTTCTAAAACATATATACTGGACCTACATGCACTGATATCCACATGATTGACTTGTAGGTCAGGAATGGCAAATCCAAAACAAACAAGTTTTAGCCTGGTAGATAATGTATCAATGTTTCATCTCTGCCATTACCATGTCCCAGCTATTGGGACTTTACGGTTTTTGGATTATTTAAACTTTTCTTCAAGTGAACTTCCATCATTCGGTATATTGAAAATCTATCAGTTTAGAGCGGTAACCACTTTTAAAAACAACACTATTATTCTATTTATGACCTTATCTTACTGAGAGAATTCAGGTTTACACTATGACATGATACTCTAGCAAAGCACTCGGTATCGAACTGAACATAGTTGCAAAATCTCTATATGTAAATGATTCAAATTGAACACTCAAGCTCTTAAACAGGTTGAAATGGAACCAGATACTAGTAACTGGATTTTATTTTATTTCAACGCAGTAACCGGAAGCTGTTGCACACAGAAATTGATACCTGAATGAAAGCGATATGTTGACTACTAATTTTTAAATTTTCGTATTTTGTTTTGATCAATCTATTGGTGAGTGGACAAGTTGGCCTCATTATCTTGAATAGAATGTAGGTAGTGCCACGTTGCATTTAGCTTTTCATTGCAATGAATGTCCTTTACTATCTTCTGCTCTTTATTATGTTAATATTCTCTTTTGCATTGTAACAATCTGGGTAGACAAACATTCGTGTCAGCCCTTGACTGATATGTTGCATTAATCCCGACTCGATATGCAGAGTGCATAGTGTTTGTATGAATTTTGAGGTCAATCAGTAGTGAAAGCTCTACATGTAACTCAGTGAACTCACCATACGAAATCAGTATCCCCATTACGGCGCTTTTCAACAATTAATTGGGTATCGAAAATCACAAATGCACAAAATATAGCCAATCCAATGTAAAGTTCAGCGTTGTATATGGCCGGAGAACGAATAAATAGGTTCATGAAGCTAAATGTTGTCAGCAAACTGATGGCAGACATCAATCCAGCTATGGAACAAAGAAAAAAATTCCAATGTATCGACACCAAAAAATCGTATTAGTAATAGAACTACAACTTTTTATCTATCCAGTTAAGCTATTATTTAAGTTTTCGTTCATCTGTGATGATAAATATTCACCTCTAGAAGCTTCATCTGTATAGGTTGTAAGCAACTGAGAGAACCCAAACAAACAAAATGAAATTCTGTCATTCTACTCAAAACGTTATTCTTACTATTCTCAACATGCGACATTACCAAATATAGATCAATTGTTTCTTTATCACTAGTTACATACTATATAAGTCTTCGCTCATTTTGCATTTTACGGATTTACGCACACGTATGGAACAAAGCCGAGTGGATAAACTTGTATCTAGTAAATGAGTTACTTAAATCCGAATTGTACAGCTAAATGAAATATAGTGGTACCAACGATCAAACACAAACTTACGTATGCAAATGTCGCGGAGCAGTAACTCAGTGGTTAACGTGTTTGACTATTAACCAATTCGCAAGTTAGAACTCCGTCCCACTTCGTTTTGGGAAAATAGGCAGCATTACTAGTCATCAAACCTAGATTAGAACTCGAAGCTAAATACAAAAATCTGTACCCGAGAGATAAGCAGTAGACTAGATCAGATGTGAACACTAGAAACTGAGACTAAATAATCAAAGTGTGGAGAACAATTTCCTAGCTAATAAATACAATAGTTGTTGATTTTGAAATGACAAAAATAACTGATGAAAGCTAGGATTTAGATTTAACCGATATTTTATTGTCGGAACAACAATAGCACTCACAGTATCACAACTAGCGTGCCTTCGAGGTTAAGGTGTCCATCGTCAGGGGTGACTTTATGATTACAATATTCAAATAACAAAAAGCACAAATAAATGAATGGATTAAACTTGATATATTACTCAATAAAATCACACATTCGGTTGTAATGAATAGACAGACACTGTTGTGAGATGCCACAGCGTTTGACAGGGCAAGGTCTCTCCTGCTCATTAAATTACAATGAAGGTGATCTGACTCAGTGGTCGGTTTCGATATAAGTTAACCCAATTAAGAACCTTAATTTATGATAGCTTAAAAAAGCGCTAAGCACTACAAACAATTCACATAGGGTTTGAGACCAAAATAATCTGTGGTGGGGGGATGTATGAAGTGCCAAATGCAAACTCATATACAACTTCAACACCATTAGACATGAAATACATCAGTATTTGCTATTACACATAATGGTTGGGTTAGAAAACATACAAAACAAGGCAATAAAGTCATCAGTGAAACAAGAAAAAAATACAAACTCACCACCAAGATAGATGTAATATCGTTTTCGTGTAAACAGTGCTGTTAATGTGAACGAGACGAAAATCAAGGCAGTACCCAAAAGGGCAGTTGGAATAGTATCAGGACTGATTACTGACAAAGCTTGAAGAAGTGGACCAAAACCAATACCTAGAATGAAAACAGGTAACTAGAATCTGCATGATGGGATGAACTAGTCTTATGCATTTAACTGATAAAAACTACCACTCATTAACCACGATTGACGTGACTGCACTTTAATAAATACTGATAAAAAGTTTGAACCCTAAAACTCTGCTATTCTAAGGAAAGCATATTTGAACAGCTTCTATAAGTTTGTAGAGATCCTTGGTACGGTCACAGACAATTATTGCTGAGTCTTTTGCTAGGCTGAAATAGTTGGTCGGTGCTTCTTGGGTTTTTAATAGCTGTCTGACTAATATCAGTTTGTAATGTAAACTAACAAACAGCTTCGTAGGGAAAACGACATTGTGCTGCTAGGTGGAATGAAATGACATAGACCTGATGATAAGTCGAGTAAGTATGTATCAATGTAGCCTGGACTAATTAAACGCCTATGAACAGCAAACAATTACGCGAGATGAATTAACCTGAATCAGAGGTAAGAAATGAGCTTGTGTAGTTCGTGACACGTCAGGAACCAGTTACTTGGAAAGTGATGACTAGAAACTAATCCAAATTAACAGGACCTGTTTGCACTACAAGTCCTTACAAGTAGATGATTGTATCATTTTACTTATATTTGTTGCATTCCCACGTTACCTTAATTCTTTATGAGAAAGTTTAACGGATAACATTGTCGTGTTACGGATTGAAGACAAACAAGATAGGCAGACTAAAACCACCTTTCAGAACTACACTCAGGACAAGAAACTCTTACCTGTAGAAAAACAGAACAAGAAGAAAGCACCAAGTCTAGAATGAAGGGTTTCTCTTGAGTGTTGTGTGAAATAAATGAACAAAGAGCTTCCAAGGGATAAAATGAATGACAAGACCACCAAAGAAGTTGTAATCGACTAAAAAAATGGTGAAAAAAGTATTAATAAAAGTGATTATAGTATGAGATGTGATATAATGCACAGATAATTATGACAAAATTTTAGTGGGATTTTGAAAGAGCAAGTGTAACAGACGAAAACAGATATGAGTCTAGCTTTTTAAGTCTTGGAACATCCTTCAATTTAGCACTGACGCCACTTACCATTACTTTCCTTACAAGCAGTATTATTTGGTTCAAACACAGCCCTGCTATAACAAAACCTATGAGGCCTATATCGCTAGTATCTATAACACTGGATGCATAAATGGACACAAATGTGACTGATTTTAAGTCATACCATCAAGCGTTCCTGACCAGTGGTTATAATAATCGTGTAGGTTTTAAGCTGGAAGTCTGCAACTACCCAAACGACTCGCTTTAACAGCTGGTGAATTTGCGGACCAATGCCATAATAATGATAATAATAATATTAATTAGAGTCAGTTCAGTTAGGAAGAATATAACCAGAAAGAATTCTCTCATTTAGAGGAGTTACGTTTACTTTCACGAACAGAAAGTTACAGCAGGATTGCCACTGGTCTGATAACTTCTCTAACCAGTGTTGCACCATTTCTAGGACCCCAACTAGAGATTCGTGGATTTACTCATACCAGCCGTTATTGCGGATAGTAGTGGTAGTTAGACATGAGTAATACGCTTCAAATGCAAGACGATGAAGGTTCATGAGTTCATTAACTATGACTTTTCCAAGTAAAACCTCATACGTAGCCTGAGTCACCTATTTTGTAGTGATGCCGTACGTGAACAATGTTACGAAAACGCTCATAACTGGACAACTGCAACCTGAATTTTCCTCCACTTTCATGAATTATACTTACATAGAGTTGTCGAAAATCACATTTTTAGGGTTGTAAGAAATGACAATCTATACTTTGAAAACTAGTTATCCCAAGATGACATCAAACATATCCTATCTTACACTGTGAACAAGCTACTCGTGTATACTCGATTTTTCCTCTAATTTACAACTGGTAGGACCACTTTATAGTTTTTTTCGCTTTTCTGTGATGAAGTATGTCACCTCAGATGAGCGTAATAAAACCGTTTTTAACATGAACCCTTCGACTAGAAGCTTACGAAAGTACAACAGAGCTAAGCTTAACAGTAGTGCTCAATTGTTTGATGGTATTTTTTAAAATAAGAACTAAACGGAATACTAACTTAAGTAGAAAAAATGTTAAGAGTCGACAAACAGCACTTAAGTTCCTTAATTATTTAGTTGTTCTCGACTCACCAAACTAATCTTAGGTTAGTTTGCATCAACACAGAACCTGGCATAATTGTGAGTCAGTAAAAGTTGCTTTATCATCAGATGAAATTAACAAAAACAGTAAACGAACTAAAACGTAATAGTAACGAGAAATTAGGTATTGAAAGCATGGTTTGTAAAGATGAAAAACGCATACGCGAACCAATAATGGGACTCAGAACCTACGGCAAGATAAAGCAAACGCATCTGCGTCACTAAGATCGATCCCGAAATGTCATCAATTGCCTTCAAACGATGAACACCACTGCTGTATAGATTCAAACCAGACGGACACAGTTCAATTCGACTGTTAGTGACCTCCCTGATTTATGTTAACTCTTGTAATTGATGTCCCAACCTTCACAAATCAGTGGATAACGCTTATGGCCAATCTTCAGAAAAGCCTAATGCCCTAGCTTCATCAACCTAAGACGGCGGCTGTTCTCTGTATACTCTCGCAGGTGGTATGAATTTTATTAATAAAGTCACGACCCACAACGTCGCTTTGAGAGTCATGTTTTAGTTGGTGACATCGTTTATTTTCTGCAGATACTTTGATGGAGGATTAGAAATAATAACTGGACGATTCACCTGTGTCAGTAGTGTCACTTATAGATAAAACAACTGTAGATTTCCCGGTAGCATTGAGCAATAAACGAACTTCAATTATTCGTAAATGCATAGAGTAATTACAGTTTAGACTGTACTACTGTTAATCCAAATAGTTATACTATTACTACACGGATTAGTAAAAGTAACCAGTCTTCAACTTAACTAGTATTTAATATAAACGTAACTCACCTGTAGAAAAGAGTTTATTTGAAATAAATATGCCCCAACACATGATATTATCATACCAATAGAGAGGGTACTGTATACGTTCTTAAGATGGACTTGAACATTTTTGTCACTAAGGTGGAGTAAAGCTGAGTAAGCACGATAAACTTACAGATCTCGAAAATTAAAAACAGTCCCCAGATTCATCCTCTGGGAATGCGAGTAGCGCGACATAGCCAACGGAATATACGTGTACTAAGAACGAAAGGAGCTTTTTAAAACAAGGGCGTACAAATTTCAACAGCTTCCTCTCACGGTACATTCATATTTCAATATAATTAAACGGGGTTAGTGTAAGCTGATTTATATTTTATTACTAAATATCGGTATTGGAGTGTAGCTTCTGTCCTTTGATAATATGTAGTATGATGTGTCAAGATGATCTGGCAAAACTATTTGTTGATGATATATGTAGTGTTCAAACAGTTCGAACTATTGTACACCAAAAATAAGCTTACGTTAAATAAGTCTTCATGTTTATAAGCAGTGGATTACTGCTACTTCTAGATAAATAATTAGATAGTGAAACGAACAGCAATGAAACTGTCTTAGTAAATACGTGTTATACACTGTATTAAGAATAAATCAAGTCTCCATTAAGAAGACAAAAATTAAGGCTCGTTCTCTGATTTAATTTTATTGTGTGGAGATAAACGAATCCCCGGAACAAGTGAGTTTTCTGGACCTTTGATAGTTCTGATGGTTCAAATGGTTGTGGACGGAATAGAAGAAGCTTTCGCGTAACTGGCTTCTATGTCTGGTAGCAGTGGATCACCAATACCTTCAGGCAGGAACCTAGATATGTTAACGATAATAGAGGCAAATAAAAATTGGTGAGCCATAGTAAGATACTATTCTTAGTCTTTAACTCTGTCTGTAGCTCTTCTAGAGTTACTGCCGGTCCTAAACCCGGGTAAAGGAGAAGGGTTGTGCATGGGGTTAGCGACCCCATCCCGTAGAAAACTAACTCGCTAAAAAAACGCTTACCAGAAAAAATAATTCAAACAATTTAGACTCTGCCCTGGGAGTTAGAAGGTCTTCATTTAGAAGAACTATGACGCTTCATGGTGAAAGCCGAGTTCCTTCGGAAGTTACGAGGCTGATGCCTCTTCTGACAGCCAGAACAACATTTTTTATAGGTGCATGTAACGTCCGGACAATGTGGGGGACCGGGAAGACCAATCAAATAGCAACGAAAATGAGGAGATACAACTTGACAGTACTGGGAATCAGCGAAACCCACTGGACCCGAGCTGGACAACAAAGACTAAATACGGGAGAGATGCTGCTATACTCCGGTCACGAAGAGGAAAATGCTCCAAACACTGAGGGATTCGCTCTAATGCTTTCCAAAGTAGCATGAAATGCACTTGTAGGATGGGAATTCCACGGATCCAGAATCACCAAAGCATCATTCAAAACAAAGAAGGAGGGGATCACAATGAATATTATTCAATATTATGCTCCCACCAATGACAGCAACGACGACATTAAAGATCAATTCAATGAGAGGCAGCAATCAATCATAGAGAAGTGTCCAAGAAACGACCTCATCATTCTGATGCGAGGTCTAAACGCCATAGTCGGAATAGACAACAGTGGGTATGAAGATATCATGGAACGAAATGGACTGGGAGAGAAACGGAAATGGAGAAAGATTTGAAAATTTGTGTGCATTCAACAAATTGGTCATAGGTGGCACAATATTCCCATACAAACGTATACACAAAGCTACATGAACCTCGCCGGATCACACTACAAAGAACCAGATAAATCATATTTGCATCAATAAAAAGTTCCGAAGGACAATGGAAAATGTGAGAACCAGGAGAGGAGCTGACATGGCTTCAGATCACCACCTGGTTGTGGCCAATTTAAGACTGAAGCTAAAGAAGAACTGGACAACTGGACAAACAACACTACAAAGGTTCAATGCAGCCTTCCTTTGAGATACTGACAGACTCAATGAATTCAAGATAGCTCTCAACAACAGGTTCCAAGCCTTACAAGACAACTGGAAGAGTATCAAACAAGCATTAACTTAAACGTGTCAAGAGGTCCTGGGTCTAAAGAAGCACTATCATAAGGAACCAATCTCTACAGTGTAGTGACCTACTTTTATCAGCAGAACGCGATTAGTGTAATGGAAACAGTTATTATTATAAACAATTGTACCAGTGGGTATTTTACTGTACTTTTTTGTTTAACTGTACCAAACACTCACATCCTTCCGTTGTGCGTGACCTCGCACGAATTCGGTTACGCTCAGTAACCACACTTGTGACCTGACACGATCTCGGTATTCTTTCGATACCACGAGATCGCCAACAAATACATCTCGACTGCAACCATCAACTGCCCTCTGATATTTCGTCTACGGGGGATCTTATCGGTTAACTGGCACGTAGTCTTCCTGTAGTGGTGATCATAGTCAACCGCGACTCGACGCCACACTACAATAGAAACACTGGACAAGATCAAAGAAAGGAAGAACAAGAAGACAGCAATTAACAACAACCGAACACGAGCAGAAAAAGTTCAAGCGCAAGCTGAGTACATAGAAGCAAACAAGCAAGTGAAGAAGAGCATTAGAGCCGACAAGAAGAAGTACGTGGAAGAACTAGCAACAACGGCGGAAAAAGCTACAAGAGAAGGAAATATGAGACAGCTTTACGATACAACGAAGAAACTAGCAGGGAAATATAGTAAACCAGAGAGACCGGTCAAAGACAAAGAAGGCAGGACAATCACTGAAATTCAAGAACAGTGGAACAGATGGGTAGAATACTTCGAGGAACTCCTGAATAGGCCGGCTTCAATGAACTCACAGGATATCGAAGCAGCTCACACAGATCTTCCCATAGATATCAATCCATCAACGACGGAAGAAATCAGAATGGCCATCAGACAAATCAAGAACGGGAAAGCAGCAGGACCCAACAACATACCAGCTGAAGCACTGAAGTCAGACATCGAAGCACATACAAACATGTTTCACTTTCTATTCAAAAAGATTTGTGATGAGGAACAAGTGCCGACGCACTGGAAAGAAGGACACCTCATCAAGATTCAGAGAAAGATTTGAGCATACATTGGACAGCTCAGAACCAATTAGATTATTTGGAATTCGAAGATGACCTAGCTCTCCTATCGCACACAAATTAATGTAGATAAAGACAGCCAGTGTAGCAGCAGTCTCTGCATCAGTAGGCCTCAACATAAACAAGGGAAAAATCAAAGTCCTCAAATTCAAAACGAAGAACAGCGATTCAATCACTTTTGATGGCGAAACTCTGGAAGAGGTAGAATCCTTCACATACCTGGGAAGCATCATTAACGAACACGGAGGTTCAGATGCAGACGTAAAGGCGAGGATTGGTAAAGCAAGGGCTGCATTCCTACAATTGAAGGACATATGAACTCAAAACAACTTTCAACCAATATCAAAGTGAGAATCTTCAACACCAACGTCAAAACAGTCAGTTCTACTGTAAGGATCTGAAACTTGGTGAACTACAGCAACCACAATCAAGAAAGTACAAGTATTTATAAATAGCTGTCTTCGCAAGATACTCAACATCTATTGGCCGGATACCATCAGCAACAGCCTAATGTGGGAGAGAACAAATCAGTTTCCAGCTGAAGAAGAAATTAGGAAAAGACGATGGAAATCGATAGGACATACATTACGAAAATAATCAAACTGCATCACGAGGCAAGCCCTAACTTGGAATCCTGCAGGAAGGCGGAAAAGAGGAAGGCCAAATAAATAGAAGCAGATATGAAAATAATGAATAACACCTGGAAGGAGCTGGAGAGGATTGGTTGGGACAGGATTGGATGGCGAATGCTGGTGAGAGGTCTATGCTCCTTCATGAGGAGTAACAGGCGTATGTAAGATAGTAAGTTTTACAACTAGTGATTGCAGATTAGATGGCAGCGTATTATCGACCGGACCAAAGACGCATAAACACGTGAGAACAACCTAGAGTCCTGATTAGTCCTGCTTCCCTGAATAGCCCAGCCAGTTAAGTTCAGAACATAAGTCTCAGCCTCTGAGATATGAATCATTATATTTCAATCATACTCTGTTTAAATACCAATCAAGCAAACCACATCGTACCATAAAATAGAAAATAACATTTGTACAATATTTGGTCAACAGAAAAATGACACATGAAGTAAGTATTGACCAGTAGGAAAATGACACGTGTTATAATCTCTTTCTTACAGTTATGACCCAGTTATTACTATTGCTTAGTATTCTCGGACACCAATTCACTCGACAAGTCCCCAAATCAGAACACGGTTGAACAGGAAAGGGATTATATTCCAAACAACAAAGTTAGATGGAAGTAAGATGCACAATAGAGAAAACGTTAGTATATTTATAGTTTTTACATGAGAAGACTCCAGAGTATTCTCCAAGTATCGACTAGTGAGGACTGGATAGGAATTAGCCAATCAGCGTGCACCAAAACAATCGTGCATTGAGCAAGCTATAATCCAGTCTATGTCCCGCTAACACCTCCCCTTTGAGCAGATTCGTAGGATCTGGTGCTAGGAGGATGCTTACGCTACCTCTTGGGCCGAGACGTACTATTCATTGGACAATGAGCTTCTTTATGTCCACGTTTGTTGCACATCTGACATTTATGCTTCTTAAACTTGCCTTTGTGCTTAATCCTGGTGTCGTACGGCCTATCCGGGTGCATATGGATTCCATTTAGCAAACGGTATTTGTTGTCACGAGATGCTTCCATAGTTACAGCCGCCGTATGGGAGGATGGGAGGGTTGTCTTCATCAGCCGGGTTCTAGAATCACTGTCCTTGTTAGCTAGTCTCAGCTCTTGTTGAGTCAATAAGTTTTTGAGCTTCAAAGACTGCTTGATGAAATTCCATCCCCTAATATCAGAGTTAGTGTGGTTAGGGTCCGTATTTTCTGGTACACCTTGCACAATGATATTTCTTCAGCGGAAAAACGTCTCGCGACATTCCTTAGGGATGTTCCGGATGATATCGCGCTCAGAATATGATATGTTAGGCGGTATTTTTACGTTTTCATCAAATCTCAGTAAGTGACCAGCCAGTAGGGTATCCTCTGCGTCGGTAGCGTTAGTGAGTCTTACACGACGTACCCTTGAGTCCTTTTCCCGTGTGAGCCGTGTGACACCCAAAGGCTCTATTTAGGGAAGTTCGAGATTCTTGTTTCACTCTTCCCAGAACATCCTGTCATTTTTGTCCTGCAAACTGAGGGGTAGGTCAGGGCTG